TTCACTATGAAGGTCACGTACTAAATCCATCTTCACGCTACAGATACCGCAATGATGCAAGACAAACTGAAGCCAAAAGGAACCGAGTTGCTCGCCTCCGTCGGGCCACCACCCGTCGCAACAGGGTAAGCCAGTGCTCCTAATGTTATGTTTCACATATGTACTCACCTACCTTCCTTGCATGTATCCCCCCAGCTTGTTGGTTGGCGACTAGAAGAAATTCGGGCAAATCCCGAACTGGCAGGTTTGATAAAAATTGTCCAAACCTGTACCAGCGAGGATGAGACAGATGCCGAATATGTTGATGAAACTCCAATGGACCTCGATTCCGAATTGGGAGAAAGACCAGCTAGAGTCCGCAAGCGCTGCGTAGTACTGGGCGTACCTTGGCGTCATCCCCGGATCGAGCGCATTTTCAACGGACTGGATCAATTGCGCCAAAACCGGCTTGCGCAATCGGAAGGCAATTCGAATGCCCCCCCAACACGTAACCGAAGACGGGTTCCAAATCCCAGAGAGGGATGTAGGCCTCCGCAATTCCAGCTCCCCCGCGGAGCTTACCACGGAGACTGGATGAGATCCCTGTTGACAATGGAACTCAATCAGGTCGAAGCGACCGACACACCGCTAGAGGGGTATATCGGTCTCATCCGGAGAATTTGATTTTCTTTCCGGCATATTTTGCATTCAATAGCTCGCCCCTTCTCTTTTCTGATCTTGTACATACTACTTACTTGTCTAAACTACACACAGGCGATGTCTCATCAGCTCATGCAATGTACATACATAGACATACATACACTACATTACGAATACTTCCAAACACATGTACACCGGGCCCGGTGGTGGGTATCAATGATCCCAGCGCTAATCCTACCACAATTATGTTGTCAGCTGAAAACATTTCCTATATCCTGCTGACTGCAAAACCCCCCTTCCACCCTGCACAATCCTTTCCCCAGCATTTCATCCCCCCCAAACCTCGCATCGCGTTTCGCACTGATCATCACAGCTTTATAACACTATTCTTGCAATGCCACCCCGAAAACCCACACCGAGAAGAGTGGTGTGTACCTGTGCCACCTGCTCCAAGTTCATTTATATTGACCCGTCAACAGGTGCCATCGAGAAAGGTCAGGAAGTAGATTCACAAACCCGAAAATCTCACCTAGCTTCTCAGGAGTTGGTTTCTACTTATGCTCGAGCCGCCGAAGAAGAGTGTACGCCGTTTTTACGTCTGTTTCTTTTCTTCGTTGTAAGACTCAAAAACCTCTAGTCATGAGACCCTTTTTGCTGAATGGAGAAGGGGATGATGGA